CGGGGGGCTCCGGGCACAGAAGAAGGGAAACGATTTGTTTTCTTTTTACCTCAGACTGTTTTGTTTCCCACACCCGAGCGTGGAACGCCTCCACATGGCGTTGAAAGGCCAGCTCGCAGATCAAAGCAACAGCCAGCCCCGAAACCAAAGCGGTCCACAGCGCCCTGAGGGCTGGATTAGGCCCTAGGGTTTTTAAAGTGGAAGAAAGTTTCAGAGGAGAAAGGCGCTCCGCCACCGGCTGCCCTTCAACAAGCCTCCAACCTGCAAACGGCCGTGCGGTTGCTTCCGTCTCTCTGCAAATCCTTGCCCTGGCTCCTGCAGAACCGCTTCTGCCACGTGCTGCTTTGCAAACGTGTGAGTGCTTACGAGATAAATCATCTATTCAGGGGCTGTTCTGTTTTTATTATTATTAGGGAGATAACACAAGTCAGCAGAAAACAACATGGAAGAAGCCAGCAGGTCGGTACTCCAAAGCAGCGGGATGGGTCTGTGGTCTCGCCGCCCGGCACTCTGGGGGGTGGAGGACGGAGCCATGGGAGGACAGAGCCGCCGTGGGAGCTGCTGGACCCTGGCTGTGGGCTGGTGCCCAAGGGCACCCCAGGTGGCCCCGGGCACCCACAGGCAGGCAGCTGAGCTGAACCTTGGCAGCAGTGGGGCTCTGCAGTGGTGTTGCTCTTGGTTGCCTTCCCACCTCCCCTTCAATACAGCTCTCGGAAGATGCACACAATAACAACGAGTCCTGTTTTTTCTCGCTTTCCTCTTGTCCTCCCTCTCACTTTCTCCCTACATCCATGCCAGAATCCAGGCACCCAACCTACTGTGCACTTCTTTGGACATCCTCAGCCCCAGTCCCTCCCGTGACATGAAAACTCAGAACAAGGGCACCAGGGTAACATCGCCAGCTCTGCTCTGCCAGAGCCAAAGTGTTCCTGAGGAAAGTCACTGCGGGGGCAAGGATGGGGAGGAACTGCTCCCTGCTTCCCATGGGCGCAAAGTTCGAGCAGGGAACGGAGGCTTAGCTGGGGCTCTGCACCCCGCAGTGGCCAGAGGACTGGCCAGCCCCCCAAAACAATGTTCTGCCCTGTTTAAAGATTCTCCCCTGGTGCCCCAGAAATGTTCTACCTGATAACGATGCCACACCGCTCTTTGCGGAAGGGTTACACATACTTCACAGGAGTTAACGCCACGCAGATTAACACCAGTTGAAGTAGTGCCTGTGGAAAAGCACGGTGGAAGAAGTGTTGTTGATTATTTGTCTTACTTTAGTGCCTAAGAACCCCCATGGTAACATTAAGGCCACTTTTAAGCTGAAAAACTGATTGCCTCTAAAATTCCTACTTCATTTCCCATCATGCCAGTGAGCCCTTCTCTTTTTGTAAACAAGATTTCTCTTGTAGTTTTGTAAACAAGATTTCTTTTGGTTTCCAGAGGTTCACGCTATTGTCATCTGCTCCCATTGTCATGCACCACCACTTGTCTTTGGCCTTGCTCACAGTGCCAACACAGGCTATTTTTATACATTTCTTTACAAAAGAGCTATCAGAGTACATTCAGCATGCCCTTGGAAGAATGCTACTGAAATGAGTCCGTTCCAGACAGATGATTCCCAGGTGCTGAGCTGTGAAAACAGTGGTATTAAACAACCACGGTCCCCAAAATTTGAGGAGCTCCCCCTTTCTGGGCAGCTGTAGAGCTCATGCTGCCTCACTCACTGCTGAGAGCCGCCCCAAAAGGCCAACGGTGATGGTCAAGCCGAGAGATGACTGTGCAAACCCAGGTAGGAAACCCTGCAGAGGAATTAATTTCCAGGGAGCGACAGGCTGTCTCTCCATCAACACCTACTCTGGTGCAACAGGAGCAGTTCAGTAGGTTGAAGCAGTTGGGGCTCAGATTCCGCTCAGGTGGGGGTTCAGAGTAGCTGTCCCTGTTCTGCGGACCCAGCTACCCCTGGGATGCACGGGCCTCATGGCTATTCCAAGGAGCCTTTCCTTTCTTAGCTGGCAGTCCTACTTGGGAAGCACAAGGCTGTACTTCCACCCATCCCATGCAGGTGGCCCATGCCACCATCCCTATGGTCTACCCTTTCCCACAGCAACACCACTCAGTCCCCCCCACGTGGAGTCCCAGGGACCCCACAGTGCTGCCTGACCCACCTCCCTATTCCAAGCTCCGGTAACGTTCCACAGCGGGTAGGCTGCAGCAGGGAGGACATCCTGAGAGCACCTGGAGCTCCTTTCTCCTCTAAGAAACAAAATGCAGAGTTTTCCCAGGAGTCTTTGATGTTGTGGAGTCAGCTAGAAGTTCTGGGCTTAAGATTGGCAGGACCATGTGAGGGAACGAGCAGTAGGCACAGAGCTTTCCCATGTGGAAGAACACTGGCAAGAACCTTTGCTGTGGGCTGGCATGGCTTCACCACTCTCCTATGAATTTTCAGGAGCACAAGCCCATGTTCAAGACTGCAGCTATTCCTTACGCTCCCCAAGTCTTGCTGGTCAATGGTTAAACAGTTTGGAGTGGGCATGGACAAAAAGGTGACTGAGGGCCCAGAGGCCATCGCCCAAAGCCTCTTCCTCCAAATGGTGGAAAAGGAAATCAGCAACTCAACCACAGCTTTGTATTTTCCTGGGTTCCTGAGCTGTATGGGTGCTGCTGGTGGGAGCGATGTCCCTACCCAATGCGTGAGCAAGGATGGTTACGACTGTGTAAATTCCAGCAGCTACAACTTCTTACACAGACCTTGGTAGTACATCCACTGAGGCAGATGCATGGACATGAAAAGCTCATCATCTGTGTCTTCCATACCACCACCCTCAGCATTGCAGGGATTGCTGGTACCTTCCTCCCACACAAGAAGGCCATTTGCAGCAGCAGGGTGCCCCCTGTGCTGTGGGAGACACTACCCACACCCCGCAGTCACGAGGTGCTACCCAGGCAGTGATGAGCCCAGTTTAACCATGCCTTTTCACCACACACCCTGACCTACAGGAACCCACTGCGCCTTGCAGTCTCTGCAAGGACAGGGGGAGCCTGTCCTGCCTGTGCTGGGACAGGGAGGAACACATTTCTGGCAGGTGTACGCACAGCTCTTGGCATCCTCTGGACCAGTCAGGACATCCCAGCGCAGCATCTCTGTCTGGGATGCCAGTCATCCTTTTGATCACAAAGGCCATGAACATGCCGAGTCCAGGATTGCACCGAGGACAAGGGAGCGAACATCAAGACCGTTTCACGTATCTGATACACACTACAGGAAGATTACAAAAGCATGAGTTGTTTGTACATCCTTGTAGCAGCTGCCTCCCCCCAGGAACGGGTGTCTGCACACCCCTCACCCCGCTCAGGTGCGCTTCACCTGCTCCCTCCCGGGGTCCTCAGCCCGCAGCCCCTTTGCACAGGCACAGTTCCTCCTCCCCAGCCCTTTCTGCCATTGACCACGCACAGTGTTCGCACTAACACTGCCTACGCAGCCCTGAGGAAACCTCAGGCCTCAGTGTCACCGATACACTAAAAAAGACAAAGCTGACAGCTCAGGAGAAGGCTTCCATGCTTCTTCTCCAAGAGACGACAGGAGATTTCGGCAGAGCCTTTGTCAGGGAACCAGCTGCAATGGTTCAAGCCAGTAAAACCTGGTAAGGAGGAGAGAGCTCAGCCCCCACCTCCCAGTTAGGCTCCATGGAATGGAGACAAAGCACTACACTGAAGTGTAACTGCTTGTGCTAATCCATCAGCACTTCACTCTCTGCATGTTGTACAGGGACAGCCTGTCCACCAGCTCCGGGATAATGAAGTCTCTGTGCTAGAAAGGGACTGGAAGACAGGTAACATGTAATATGGGACTTCTGCAAAACTGGCCTTTGAACTAGGGATTCCTGAATTCTGCTAGCTCAAGGTGTGTCCAGTTATATGGGAAACCTATAGCTTTGCAGATTTCACAACAGTTCTCCACAATCCAAAGCATCACGGAATGAACAAAATTCAGGTCTGCCATGGTTGGAAGAGAGAGGAAACACCTAGGCTGTAGCTGGCACGCTCGCTGCAGGGTTTTGCTCGCTAGGCACAGCCTCAGGACAGGACTGCAAAGAACTGGTTACAGCTTATGGGTCTAGTGCGTAAAACCTCTTCCAGAGCGAGTCGAAGAGGAGAGAAACTGGCAACTCCACCATAAAGAAACAAGTTTCCTCCACCCAGAGGGGCAAAGGCTGAACTGCTGAAATCACCCCCCTTCCCTCCCGAATCTTCTGCATACACCTGAAACTATTTTCTTCTACCAAGAAGGACGCATTTCAATTTAGACGCTAGTTTCATGACTGCAGATGTCCTGACAGGCAGTTCTTCGGCAACTTTTCCCAATTCACAGATCTCCCTCTTTTGTCAGGACTATGCAAAAACAGGGCAGCTGAATGCATGGGAAACAAACTTCAAGAGCAGATACCAAGTTCTGTAAACATCTGAGCTGTGCTTCTACAAACTTGAGATGACCAGGAAAACTGCCACTGCACAGAGAGCAACTAACAGGTAGCATCTATAAAACCAAGACAGGTTATATCTTAGTTAATTTGTCCTGTTTTCAAACATTAAAAAACCCAAAAAAGGCTATTCTCTTGCTACACAAACCCAGTTTCATTTTCCATCATTTCTGGGAATCCTGACCAAGGAAAGCATTCCCTCCTCCTCCTCCCAGCCCACACACAGCTTCCAAATATGCATTTAAGAGCATCTACTGTCGGCATAGTGACCTTAAAAACAGCGAGACTAAATAAAACTGTTGCAATGCACAGTGCCTCTGGAAGCACAGCTCTTAAATGAGACCACTGCATGCTGTCTAGTCTTATTATTCCAAATTGTTGATAAATTCAAAAGTTTGGAACTACCCACCACCTCTAGTTACTGTTAACCATTTCATCATGATGCTACAGCTAATCCACTTCACTGTTGACAGAGAAGTACAAAACAGACATAGAACCAAAATAACTTACACAAGCATGCATGGGAAGAAAAATTTAAAATACCATCACCGAACTTCGTACCCAGTGAAACCTCCCACTTAACTCCTTCAGATGCAAAGCCTAATGGAAAATTATGCTCATCTTGTGAGTCAAATACCGATTTTAAATTGCTGTGGAAATCCACGAGCCAAAGAAACTAATAAAGGTCTAAGGCTTAGTACACAGATCTAGCTGCTCCAGGAAAACCCCACTTGATCGTAAAAGCCAAGTGCACAAGCTGCAACAGTGGAAGTTAAGAGAGATTCATCAACCTTTGCTGCAGGAGACGGTGGTGCACTCTATGCCCAGTACATATGGTGTCAAAATACAGTATTAATATCACGTATCAGTCTGTTCACGGGTAGGCACTGTTCCATCTTCTCCAAGGTGTTTCCAAAGCCATTCCAACTATACAGCTTGCTCCATCTTCTGAGATGGGAGCTTGCAGGAACTTCAAACACCCGACTTGCTCACTGAGACTTTGAACCTCTGGCGCCTAAAGCCTGTCACGCTTCAACACCAGGCCAAGCCAGACAATGACTTCAACGTCCAAAAGCTACATTCCATGAAAAAAGGAACACTCACAGTTGAATGTTAGGTAAATGCAAACAGGCATTAATCCTTTAATTTATAAGCCATCTGTACATGGTTTGACACTTCTGCTTAAGGCACTCCGGAATTGAGGGAAAAAGCAAACCTCATTACCTCTCTCCATTTCTTACTCCCAAACTTAGTAGCTGTCCTACTGTCCTGCTTTTGGCTGGGATAGAGTTAATTTTCTTCCTAGTAGCGGGTACAGTGCTGTGTTTTGGATTTAGGATGAGAATAATGTAGATAACACACTGATGCTTTAGTTGTTGCTAAGCAGTGCTTACACTGGTCAAGGACTTCTCAGCTGCCCATCCTCTGCCCGGTGCACCAGAAGCTGGGAGGGGGCACAGCCAGGACGGCTGACCCAGACTGGCCCCAGGGCTATTCCATACCATATGCCGTCATGCCCAGTATATAAACTGGGGGGAGATAGCTGGGGAGCAGTGATCGCTGCTCAGGGATGGGCTGGGTGTTGGCTGGTGAGCAACTGCATTGTGCATTACTTGTTTTGTGTATTTATCATTATTATTTCCTCTTCCTCTGCTGTCCTATTAAACTGTCTTTATCTCAGCCCACGGGGCTTACCTTTTTTCTCCTGGGGCAGGGAGAGTGAGCAAGCAGCTGTGCGGTGCTTAGTTGCCCGCTGGGTTTAAACCACAACACCTCCAACTGACTGTTCAATTGCTTTCAACAGCCAATACCTACAAACTGCTTGAGGTCACTACCTTCTCTAGTATTTTACTCTCTCTATGTGTAGACAGTAGTTTTACATCACTTATTTGACGTAGCTAAGCAATGCCTTACATCAGGCTTAGAAAAGTAAAATCATATTTATCCAGATCTATAACACAGTTAAGCTTGAGTTTATGCATGTTCGAAGCTAACAAAGCAGGTTATCTCCAGCAGTTTCTTTAGCAAGCTTCACGCTGCTTCAAACAAAGCTCACAAAAATAGCATTGGTTCGTAAACACTTGGCTGAAGACATTCTTCCATTCAAGAAACACTGGGAGGTAGCACTGGGGTTTTGTGAGTTACCAATAACAACAAGGGGATGAGAGGAATGCATCAGAACATCCAGGCAGACGTTTAGATTCAACAGACATGCAAAAACCAAAATGCAAGTGTTCAGCTATGCCAGCCAATGCAAATGATAAAAATCAAATTACAAAGGCTGGCAGTTTTGGAATTAAAGCCTTGTTTCTAAACTACTACAATTTCATAAGAACACTTACTGGCCTGAGTATGTTCTAAAAATCCTTCTTTTACAGGTTACAATGGTAAAAACACCAAAATCCTCCCACAGCCTTTCTCAAGAGGTTGCTTTCAAAAACTGTTTCCACAATTTTTCTTTGGTATTTATCTGAGGCCTCTTAGACAAAAGCTTTTATCAGCGAAATCTGAAGCCCATTATCCCTTTTCCCACAAAAAAATTAAACCTTCAAATGACACTGTACAATTCTTGGTATATGCTCTTAGTTTGCTGGTGAAATATTCCACGTCCTCTCATATTACCTCATTAGGTTATCAAAGAAGGATGATAATCACTAAGCATTAGCAAATTTGCGTCCCCAGGATTTATGGTCTATATAAATGACTTAACTGATCATCAAAAGCTGCAGATGATTTAAATGACCAAGCACCATGTAAGGCAAGTTAAATAAACAAACTTCAATAAAAGAGGAGTTCTAAAGCATCTGTCCCAAAAAAACTAAAGGCATGAGCCACAATCACATACACTTGTCCAAAACCAGATTTTCAGTTTATTTTTTTTAAATGTGCATTATGCCATGAATTCATAGGGAATAGGCTCCAGCAGCTCTGGATCCTTGCCATTAGTTCTCACAAAGTGTGCTTCTCTTGGTGGAGCGGGCTGTAAACAGAGGAAAACAAGAAACAAAAGTCATGGCACTAAAACTCAAAACAAACCTTATACAAAATTCTTTTTAACAACCATTTAACACATTATTATATAAACATTACAGCACTTTTACTATTCCTAGTCTCTTTAAAATTTGATTCAAAGAATAGCACTGAGAAAATAATCTGCTAGAAAGTGTACTTGACTTTCATTGCTGAATGAAAAAACCTACACTTTACCCTCTGCAATTTACTAATCCAAATTATCACAAAGCGATGTGCCCTAGCGTTCCGGAAGCAACAGCCATTATCTCCTCTCTGAAGTCTAGTTATTCATTCTTTTCTTAAAGGGTTCCAACAGAAACTGTTGCAGCTAAATTCAACTAAACCAAAAGCAACACTGATCCCAGAAATCACCCAGAGCTGCTGCTGGAAATCAGCAACACAACAGGAAGCATCCGTCCCTATGTTCACGGCCAAGGATAGAATTTCCATCCAGAACAGTGCAGTTCTGTTCAGGCACCAAACACATCAGATAGCTCAGATGCAGACACGCTGCATGCTGCCGCTCTACTCTTATTAAAAAACAAAACAAAACAAAAACCAAACCACCTCCCGCAAAGGACTGCGAACCCAAGTGAGGATAGTAGCAACAGACACCTCCAACAAAATCTGCCAGAGACCTGGATTTTTCAGAATGCTGTAAGCAGCTTCATTTATGTGAGGTGGGTTTTTTGGGTTTTTTTTGGTTTTGTTTTTTTAAAGACAGACAGAAAAGCTCAGTTTACAGCATAGCACACTGTTGTTTTGGAAGAAAACAACATTTTACTCAACTGGTTTGGTTCTAGCTGGTTTTTTTTTTTTTTGGTGAATTGAATCAACAATGTGTCAACTACAATAAAAATATTACCTGACGTTTCAGTTGAACCCAAATGCCTTTTTCTTTTGCTTCCTTTTTCTTCTTTTCATTCTCCTTCACACGCTGAAGAAAGCTGTCTCTGCTCTTGGAATGTTTAATATGCTCAATACGCACATTAATTCTCTTGGCAAGAATCTTGCCCCTAAGAAAAGAAATCGGTTTTTTATCTACTGCACTTGAAAAAAAGGCTACTTCAAAGCTAGTTTTACAGCCCTTATGAGTAACTCCGTAAGCTCAATAACAGATAATTTTTCTTTAAAGGGCAATCACTCAAAATACATTGCTGCAGATGCAAATCAGATGTAACTTATATAACTGAAAGCTTACTAATATATAACAATATGCTGACAATTTAGGATTAAGACTGTGGAGAGCACGTAATTTTAACCTTGTAGCACACAAACGAAGAATTGCATTACCACTGTACTCCAGTCCAATTACTGGAAGAAAAACAACTTGTCCTTTTCTGACTAAACCGTACAAAACCCAGCTGAATACAGCTACAAATTAGTATTAAAAAAGGGCTTGAGTATCAGTGTGAAAGTCGGCTGATAATCCTCATCAGGTAATGTCACTTTAAGTGGTGCTCAGAAAAATAAAAACTGTATCCTCTGACAGGATCCAAGTCAAATGAGCATCATTTGCTTGGGTTATAAAAAGGAGATATACTTTACCCACCTTGAATGACCAATCAAGACAATAACTGTCTAACTGGCAAAGTGAAAGGAGGGTGCAATTACAGATCAACTTTCCCGAACACAGCGTTTTAATACATAGAACTTCATTACTTACTTAACCTGCTTGTTAACAATAATGCCCACAGCGTGCTGAGTAACGTTATATACCCTTCCAGTCTTGCCATGGTAACACTTGTGGGGCATACCTTTTTGAACAGTACCCATACCCTGTTAAGAGGTAAAACAAGAATAAACTGTAAACTTCAACTTGGAAAAAAGAAAAAAGCAGCATCAAGAACTTTTCTTTCAGAAGTTATTTAAAGTACACATTTCAAATTACTTGAGATTGATTTAAAACTACCCCTATTTTATTCATACATTAGAATTTATAACCACGCACTTTATATCTGAAGACTATCAAATTCTGCTATGACAATTCTGGTTGCTCTCAGTGTCGGTGAAATGATTGATCACTTTGCTTTCAGCAAGCAATCACAGGAGACAATCATCATCAAGCTCCAGTGCATCAAGAAGCGTTAATTCTGAACAGTGCAGTTCTCCAGGAGTCACATAACAAATAAGCAAATTACACACCATCTTCTGTGTGACTGTTATGAGAACTCGTGCATTTCAAATGAAACTAAAGGATTCAACAAAGTACGAAATCCTTGACGAAAGGCTTTCAGATTCACTACAACTTAATTTTGAAAGTACAGTTGTTTTTAAAGGACAAGTTCTAGAAAATACCAAGTGAAGGGAAATGCTGCTTCACTTTTTTCCCCTGTATTAATATATATGATGTATCCTTACATTTATTTCTTGGTTTCTAGTTTTAATGTGGCTTTGTAATCACCATCCCTGTACATACTTATTTTAAGTATAGTCCTACAATGACACAGAGACACAGACGTAACTATCAGCTACACCACCATAATCCATGGCTCTTCTGAACAGCAGGTGCAAATCAGGCAAAACAGAACACCAACTAAAATGACAGCTGGGGTTCCTATGAAAGCAGTGCTGGTAGGTACCATACTGCAACCCCAGTATTAGATATGGCATCTTTCACTCACTTTTTTCAGCTGAACACACAGTAACGGAGCACAGCTGAATATATAAAGGATATACATACACATACAAATATATAAAAACCCACATAAAGCAGCATGTGACACTAAAGCATTACTATTGGTTCAGTAGCATTGTCAGTCCATTACTGCTTCAAAAGTGAGCAGCAGGTACTTGTGCTGACACACATGACCCGAGCAACAACAAAGACTACCTCAAGAAACTGGAGACTGTAAAGGACTACACTGCTTTAGCTTTTAATTATGTAGCACTGTAGAAAGTACCTTGATATCAACTATATCACCCTTCTTGTAGATGCGCATATAGGTAGCCAGAGGGACAACTCCTGTTAAGAGATACAAATTTGGATACTTATGAAGTTCACAATTTCACACACAGAGACACACACACCCCCCAAATGGGGTGGGGGGCACAGAACACGCATTTGACAAAGTTTTCTTAAAAATGCCTCAAATTTAAATTCAATTTCAAAAATGTAAAACTAAGAAATCAAACTGTTTTGTTTTTTTTTTTTTTTTTTTCCCAAGCAGTAATTACCTCCTCACATGCTCCCAATTTAAAAAAAAAAAATCCAACTAAGGAAAAATTACAGCTTTAACCTCGTTCCTAATGCAAAAGTTGAAAAGGCATTACAACTATTTACTACTACTTCATTGTGAAAACAGCTGTTACCACTGCTCATTGCTAAGACGCAACAAACTGTAATTTTAAGTAAGTGTAACTGTTGAAATATATTCTTCACCTTCAAATTAATTTTCAAGCATTGATAGAATTAGCATTGTTACTACTGTGAAGCAATCAGAATACCAATACATAAGCTATAAGAGGTGAGAGGTTACTTGCATATCATTCTACAGTTTTTAGCCCAAGCTGTCAGCTATCCTTTGACACAAGCCATTGTTTTACTAATGGTACTTAGGGACTGTTGATGTCCAACAAGTCAGTAACTTAATACACTGTTCTCACTACAAGGTATACTTACCATGCTTGCGAAATGGCCTTGAGAACATATAACGCGTCCCCCTCCTCTTTCCTTTTGTGTTCGTCATTTTGGCCGATTACTGTAAAAATGAATGCAAACTATTCAGAACTACTAGTTCATTCACTAAAAGTTTGACTGACAGCATTTTCATACATTTCAGAAAAACCAAGTCTTTAAACCCACCCAGAATGACATCACTTCCAAATTGCTGGGTCAATTCAAGCAATGTTTTTAGCTTAGACCTTCACAGAGAACGGCATTTATAGGACCAGAGGGTAACTCAGGTTTGAATGGATGCGAGTAAGTCACCTAGCTCAACATCTTGCTTCAAGCAAGGTCTACTATGAGATCAGACCAGGTTGCCCAGAGCTTTGTCCCTGAAACCCGTCAAGCATGGAGAGACTACTGCACAGCCTCCCTAGGCAGCCTGTTTGGAGGCCTAGCTGTTCTCATGATGAAAAGCTTTTTCCTTATATCCAGCCTGAGCTTCTCATTTTGCCTTAAGCCAGCTGTTTTGTGCTCCTGTCAAGTACCAGGATCGGTCTTCTTGCTAACAGCGCTGCTAGGTGCCCCCCAAAGCCGCCTCTGCTCCAGGCCGAGCAAGCCCCGCTCCCTCTGCCGCTCCTCACAAGGCATCCAAAAGGCAACATCTCTACTACCAGACTTCTCAGCCACTGATACATCTGACACGATACAAACCGTGGTCCTCTGTCTGTGCTCCGAGCGCAACAATTTCTTTAGCTTCAAGCTGCGTCTCCTATTGCCACAGGAGCCCCCCCGCCCCGGCACCTGGTGCCGCGGCCAACGGGGACGCCAGCCACCAAGCACGCTAGCGAAGCACAAGTCCCGCCGCAGCCCGC